GGTTCTGGGATCGAGCCCCACATTGGGCTCCATGATAAGCAGGGAGCCTACTTCTCCCTCTCCCCCTGCTGCTCATTCTGCTTCTGCTCTCTCTCTGTCAAATAAATGGGTGACATCTTAAAAAAAAAAAAAAAAAAGATCATGCTCCTACAATGCAGAAATTATACCTCACCTCACCTTTCTTTCTTCTATATAACTATACACAGAATGCCACATGCAAAGGTGTATTGTAATTGTTCTTCCTTATTGAAAAGGATGAGGCTAATAATGTCAAATGTCAAATAATGCTGAGAGTTAGTTCATAGAGGGTGGTGTTGACAAAACATATTCTAAAAGACTCTCAGATCCCCTCCCTCCTTATGAATATCTTAAGATAGGACCCATAAATTACTGCAGAAACTTCCCAACTGGGATTACTTACAATCTTCTCTCCTATGCTGTTGCCAAAGTGATCTTTCTAAAACAAATCCGATTTTATTACCTCAAGGCCTCAAGTCCTTTAATAGTTTCTTATTGCTGTCAGGAAGAAAATCCAAACTCCTCAGCATGTTTCATTTGCTCAAGCATATATACTATGCTCTAGCTATCCTCTGGTACCTAACTGCCTGTTTGTCCTCCTTGCTTCCACATATGCTGTTTCCTTGTCTTTAATTTCAACTGCCTCCTCTGCATCCTATTCAAAGTAGAAATCCTGCTTGTGGAGTTTTCTATGACTTTCAATAATAAATTAAATGGTTTTCTTCTCTGGGATCTCAAAGCATTTTGTATATGATTTTATTATACCCATTAAAGTGTATTACAACTGTCTACTCTTCTGTCTTCCATTTTGTGTCCCTAACACTTAGAAGAGCACTTCTCACATAGGAGTGTTGAATGGAAGGAAAAAGGCCAAAAAATGAAAGGATCTTTGAATGTCGTTAAAAAACAGGTCATTGGTGATGTTAGAAAGTACAGTTTAGGTGGATAAGAAGAAAAAAAAAAGACTAGATATATACGAAATGAAGGATGGAATAGGTAGAAAGAAAATATTCAACATATTCATTTCAAAAATCTGCAAGAAAAGAAAAAAGAAATGGATGAAAGAAAAAATATCACAAAGAAAGACTGCTTTTTTAAAAACACAGATAGCTGACCAAGTTAGAAGGCAAAAGAAAGCAATTTGAGAGAAAAAACCAGAAGATTTAAAAAGAGCAAGTACAGAAATCATATCCTATACTCAGAGGACAGAGATGACAGAGAGAAAGGCTAGAATGAGACTGGAAGAATATAAGACAGGTGTTGAAACAGATGTTTCAAAGTAAGCATAGAATACTTTCCATTTCAGGCATTAGAATTTTCATTCTTTTAGTTTCCCAAACTAGAAATCTTAAAAACAAAAACGCCCCAAACCAACGAAACGAAAACACTTTGGCACGTTCCTTCTATCCAGCTATTATTAATCTATAACCAACTATCGTTTCTTCTTTGTACATATCTTTCAAATCAGCTCTTTCTCTCTCCCCCTGACACTACTCTCCTACCTGATAAGCCTTCATCAACTCTCAACTGAATTATTGCAAAGCTCCTAAGAAGTTTCTAATTTTAGTGTCTCCATCATCAAATTTAACAAGAAAACACATCCAGCCTTCTCAAACATTCTCTGTGAAGCTCTCTCTGACCCTGTCTTGGACCAGATTCACTCCCTCCTCCATGCTACTACTGCTCCTACAAAACAGGGGTTGGCAAACTCTGGCTCACTGGCCAACTCTGGCCCCTTCCTATTTTTATAAAGTTTAACTGATAGGTAAATAAATAAAGTTTAATTGGAAAAGCCATTCCCATTCTGACTTTACATATTTATGGCTGTTTTCAGGCTACAATGGCAGAGAAGAATGGTTACAACAGAGACCATATGATCCACAAAACCTAAAATAGACTCTACAATGATACTTTTATTTTACTTTACTTGTTCGCTTATAATAATAATAGAAGTTGATATCAGGTACTTACTGAGATAAGCACTGAAGTAATTACACATATTTTACACATATTATCTCATTTATTCTTTACAACATTCCTTTTTTTTTTTTTTAAGATTTTATTTATTTATTTGAGAGAGAGAGAGTGCGAGAGTATGACCATGAGCAGGGGTAAGGGCAGAGGGAGAGGGAGAGAGAGAAGCAGACTCCCTGCTGAGCAGTAAGCCCAACATGGGGCTCGATCCCAGGACCCTGAGATCATGACATGAGCTGAAAGCAGACGCTTAACCAACTGAGCCACCCAGGAGCCCCTTTACAACATTCCTAAAGGAGCAGATATTCCTATTTCCATTTTACAGATGAAGAAACTGAGGATTTTCATTCCAGACCCTATGTTTTTAACTACAACACTAATACAGACTATATTCTCTTTCTTGAGTTTGTTAAGAACACAGATCATGCCTAAATCATCTTATTCCCAGAGCCTAGCACAGTGCTTGACATAGTATGTATTCTATAATTGTTTGCTAAATTAATCTTACTAACATATCCACTTTCATGCTGGCCTTCTCCCTGCTCAATACCCTTCGATACCTCTATATTTGCTTATTGCGTCAGGTCTAAACCTCTAAACTCCTCTGACTGGCTTTAAGTCTGACCATAATCCAGGGCAACTATACCTAGCAAAGTTCAAAAAGCTTAATTGTGTCCAACTTCTTCTAGGAGTTTTATGGTTTTGGGTCTCACATTTAGGTCTTTAATCCATTTTGAATTTATTTTTGTGTATGGTGCAAGAAAGTGGCCTGGTTTCATTCTTTTGCATGTTATTGTCCAGTTTTCTCAACACCATTTGTTGAAGAGACCGTCTTTTACCCACTGTATATTCTTGCCTCCTTTGTCGTTGATTAATTGACCATATTGTGTGTGGGTTTATTTTTGGACTCTCTATTCTGTTCCATTGATTTATGTGTCTATTTTTGTGCTAATACCATCTTGTTTTGATTAGTACAGCTTTGTAGTGTATCTTGAAACCTGGGCTTGTGATACCTCCAACTTTGTTCCTCTTTCTCAAGATTGCTTTGGCTATTCAGGGTCTTTTGTAGTTCCATATAAATTTTAGGATTATGTGTTCTAGTTCTGTGAAAACTGCTGTTGGTATTTTGACAGAGATTGCATTAAATCTGTAGATTGTTTTGGGTAGTATGGACATTTTAGCAATACTGGTTCTTCCAATCCTTAAGCATAGACTATCTTTCCATTTGTTGTTCATCTTCAATTTATCTCATCAATGTTCTATAGTTTTTGGAGTATAGGTCTTTTGCCTCTTTGGTTAAGTTTATTCTTAGGTATTTATTATTTTTGGTGCAGATGTAAATGAGATTGTTTCCTAAATTTCTTTTTCTGCTGCTTCATTACTAGTGTACAGAAATGCAACAGATTTCTGTATATTAATTTTGTATCCTGTGACTTTACTGAATTTATTTATCAGCTCTAATAGTTTTCTGGTGGAGTCTTTAGGGTTTTCTATATATAGTATCAT